GGGCCCAAAAAACAGCCTGAAAACGGCCCCCAAAATTGGCCATTTTCAGGCCATTTTTTGGGCAATTTTCAGGCTGTTTTGGGCTGTTTTTCGGCACAAAAAACAGCCTGAAAAAAGGCCAAAAAACCAGGTATGTGCACACTGGCCAGCTGGTTTTTGGGTTTCCGGCGCTCTGGCGTGCGCAAATGCACACCCATGCATGCACGTTCTGGTTTGGGCACTCGGTGCTGAAAAGGTTCGCCATCCCTGATATATATGTATTTGATAATAAATTATCGGTCATGGTTTACAAACCACAGCAGTTAGGTTAGTACAGGAACATGCTAACCGTATTTCCCCCCAAAATAAGACATCCCCTGATAATAAACCCAATCGGGCTTTTGAGCACATGGCAATAAGGCCAAGCGCTTATTTCAGGGTTCAAAAAAACATAAGACAGGGTCCCCAATTTATGTATGTGTGTCTGTGCCTGCCTACGCACACATAGTACATGTGTTGGTCCTTATTGTTTCAATTCTGCACAACAGTCCCAGTTACTCATGTGCCACCCCGCACATTAATTGCTACCCTGGCTTAAGCCCATGTGGCAATTTAGCAAACAGACTGAGGCTTCCGTAAAATTATTCGATTTTATCCCAACAGCATTTGGTGAAGCTTTTTTTGTCATTCTCGCGTCGTAGCTTCAATCTCAGATGCCAAAGACATCTGGTGGCATCTGGATAGCAAAACACGGCACTGCATCTCTCTCTCTCTCTCCCTCCCTCTCTCTCATTTGGTTGCTCAGCAGGTAATGGGATGAGAACCGGATGATTGCTTCAGCTAAAAAGATGTTTTAATCTTTGTCAAATCTTGACGATGAACTGTTCCAGATCCCCGAAGCAAAGCAGTGGTTATTTATAGGGCTCTAGGCAGCTTATTAGAAAAGCAGCGCAGCAGTTTGGAAATTATTAGAGAAAAAGTCCGTTGGCAAACAAACGTTGCCAGATGTTGCTGTAAGAGGGAATCAGTTGCCAAGCACCTGGATTGTGATCGCGTGATGTCGGGGACACTGTGGTGATGGAGGAAGAGGAGGAAGAAGAGGAGGAGGAGAGAGAAGAAGGAGAGAATGGAGGAGATGGAGGAAGGAAGGAGAAGGAGAGAATGGAGGAGGTAGAAGAGGAGGTGGAGGAGAAGAAAAAGGACAGAATGGAGGAGGAGGAAGAAAAGGAGGAGGAGCAGGAGAGAATGGAGGAAGAGAAGGAGGAGAAGGAGAGAATGGAGGAGGAAGAGGAGGAGGAGAAGAAGAAAAGAGAGATGGAGGAGGAGGAGGAAAAGGAGGAAAAGGAGGAGGAGCAGGAGAGAATGGAGGAAGAGAAGGAGGAGAAGGAGAGAATGGAGGAGGAAGAGGAGGAGGAGAAGAAAAAGAAGGACAGAATGGAGGGAGGAGGAGGAAGGAGGAGGTGAAGGAAGAGGAGGAGAAGAAGGAGCAGGAGAGAATGGAGGAGGAGGAGGTGAAGAAGAAGAAGGAGAAAGAGGGAATGGAGGAGGAAGAGGAGGAGGAGAAGAAAAGAAGGACAGAATGGAGGAGGAGGAGGAGGAGAATGAGAGAATGGAGGAGGAGGAGGAGGAGAAGGGAGAAGGAGAGAATGGAGGAGGAGGAGGAGGAAAAGGATTTGTGGTGTTCCATCTCTGAAGGTTTTTAAGAAGATTGGACAACCATTTGTCTGAAATGGTATAAGGGTCTCCTGCTTGAGAAGGGGGTTGGATTAGAAGACCTCCAAGATCCCTTCCAACTCTTGTTATTCTGTTAAATGTGAGGACCAATCATAAGTCACTTTTTAAAGCATTGTTGTAACTTTGAATGGTGGATAAATGAATGGTTAGAAGATGAAGTCTTCTAACCATGTAGAGCAGGAAGATCCTCTCTAGGTTTCGTACAAGCTGGGCGGATTCTGCCAAAGATGATTAGGGACCTGGAGGATAAAGTGTGTAATGAAAGGTTGCAGGAAAAGGGCATGTCTAATCTAATAAAGAGAAGGACTCGGGATGTCACGATAGCAGTCTCCCAATGTTTGAGAGGCTGTCACAGAGAGGAGGGGGTCAACCTAGTCTCCAAAGCACCTGGAGGCAGGACAAGAAGTAACAGTTGGAAACTTATCAAAGAGAGATCCAACCTAGAATTAAGGAGAGATTTTCTGATGGTGAGAATAATTAATCAGTGGAATGGCCTCCAGAAGTTGTGGGTGCTCCATCACTGGAGGTTTTCAAGAAGAGATTGGACAGCCATTTGTCTGGAATGGTATAGGGCCGCGATGGCGAACCTATGGCACACGTGCCACAGGTGGCACGTGTAGCCTAACATGACCAGACGTCCCGCTTTTGGTGGGACAGTCCCGATTTTTAACAATTTGTCCCGCGTCCCGCGGCGTTTTAAAAAAGTCCCGATTTTTTGAAAGAATGCATGACAAGCTAGGGAACGGCGGGAGAATGGGAAGGGAATATACGGTTTTCGGCGGCCATGTGGCTATTTAGCCAGGATCTGAGTTTTATATTATTTTTGTTGCTCCATATAGACCAAATTTTTAATCAAGAACCCCCCCCCCCCCGGTCAATGGTGTCCCACTTTACCAATGTTAAAATCTGGTCACCTTAGTGTAGCCATATCAGTGGGCATGCGAGCTCAGCTCTGGCGCACGCATTTTCGGGCCTTCTGGGCCCGCCAGAAGTAGGGAAACAGGCTGTTTCCTGCCTCCGGAGGGCCTGGGGGTGGAGTGGGGAAGGCCCGTTTTTCTTTCTCACCTGGCTCCTGATCCTCTTTATGCATCTGGGGAGGGTGAAAACAGCCTTCCCCATCCCCTTTGAAGGCCTGAAACGGCCCATTTCCCAACTCCCAGTTGGACAGGAAGTGATGTTTTTTGCTGTCCCCAGCCTCCAGGGCCTCTCTTGGGTGTGTTACCTTTCTTTAGAGACATTAATGCAAAGAGAAGCCATCTGACTTTTTTTTTTTCCAGGAATTAGGAGGCCAAACCAGCAGTATTCAGATAGTGGAATGTGAATTTTTGTGTATATTTTTGTATGCAGATTCTCCCCCCCCCCACACACACTAAGAGAGCATTTTCATAAGCTTTTCTTATGGACTATGGCATTGCCCTGCTCTCCGGTGTGGGTGAGAAGACAGACAGCTCACTCTCTCTCATAGTTTCTAGATTTTCTAGATTTCATTGGTAGAGGCCGAATCCAGGTGAGCCAGCAAACTATTTTAGAAGTTACATAACAACTGTCGAAAGGACTCTTAAGGAGAGATCAAAATGCTTTCAAAGAGGTGTGAACCTTAAAAAAAACCATATTTATGTTTGTCTGAATCATATTTACAAGATGAAGCATGGCATTGTCATCTCACTAAGCTCGGTCTCTGCCAGCGTCTTTGGAAGAAATAATCGCATGATGACTTTTCTGTGATAGGATGGTAACAGTGGTAGGTTGCTCCCGGTTCGCAGGAACCGGTAGTAAAAATTTCTAGTAGTTCGGAGAACCGGTAATAACATTGGCTGGCCAGGCCCCCGAACCAATCCCGGCCCGGTCGCCGCTCGCCTTACCTCGCTCACCTTATCAGAGGCTTTTTTTAAAAAAAAAACTTTTAAAAGGATTTTTTCTACAACCTCTTCGGACGAAAAATGCTTTTAAAAGTAAAAAAGAAAAAAGCCTCTGATGAAAGGATACTGTAAAATCTCCATTTCTTCCCCCCCTTTCAGGGGAAGGATACTGTAAAATCTCCATTCCCTCCCCACTCCAGGGGAAGGATACTGTAAAATCTCCATTCCCACCCCACTCCAGGGGAAGGATACTGCAAAATACCCATTCTCACCCCACTCCAGGGGAAGGATACTGCAAAATCTCCCTTCCCTCCCCACTCCAGGGGAAGGATACTGTAAAATCCCTATTCCCACCCCACTCCAGGGGAAGGATACTGCAAAATCCCCATTTCCTCCCCACTCCAGGGGAAGGATACTGCAAAATCTCCCTTCCCTCCCCACTCCAGGGGAAGGATACTGCAAAGTCTCCCTTCCCTCCCCACTCCAGGGGAAGGATACTGTAAAATCCCCATCCCACCCCCACTCCAGGGGAAGGCAGGGGAAGGATACTGCAAAATCCCCATTTCCTCCCCACTCCAGAGGAAGGATACTGCAAAATCCCCATTTCCTCCCCACTCCAGAGGAAGGATACTGCAAAATCTCCCTTCCCTCCCCATTCCAGGGGAAGGATACTGTAAAATCCCCATTCCCACCCCACTCCAGGGGAAGGATACTGTAAAATCCCCATTTCCTCCCGATCAGCTGGGACTCGGGAGGCAGAGAATAGATGGGGGCGGGGCCAGTCAGAGGTGGTATTTACCGGTTCTCCAAACTACTCAAAATTTCCCCTACCGGTTCTCCAGAACTGATCAGAACCTGCTGAAACCCACCTCTGGTGCGCATGCATGCCAGAACCCAGAAGTTCGGCTTTTCCAGAGCACAGCCCCCATGAGCGCACACGTGCAACGTTTCTGCGTGACCTTTTTTGGCCCTCGGTGCCAAAAAGGTTCGCCATTCCTGATATAGGTAATCCTTGACTTATGACCATAATGGGCACCCGAATTTCCGTTGCTAATCAAGGAAAGTTGGGCAAGGTGGTTAAGTGAGCTGTGCCCGATTTTATGACTTTTGTGCCACAGCTACTAAGCAAATTGCTGCGGTTGTTAAGTGAAGCACATGGTCATTAAGCGGATCTGTCTTCTCTTGTTGACTTTTGCTAGTCAGACGTTGGCTGGGAAGGGGATCACAAGACCCCCGGCATGCCGCACCCCTTGTAAATATATAAGAAATGCAAAGGGCATTTTTTGAAGGCGTACCGATAACGTCGCTAGTTCCAAAAATGTTGAAAAATGTGTTCTTTTCCCTTCAATTCTGAAACTCCACGGCTATTCTGGAACCGAAAGTAATGGTGATTTTTTTTTTTTTTAAAAAAAATTCTTTCTTTTTAAGGTCGCTTGACCGGAAGTCTCAGAGGCCACTTTTAGGAAAGTCTCGGACACTTCCAAGTATCCCTCAATCCCCGGTCATCAGCCGAGTTCCACTTCTAGACTCCAAACTGTACAGAAAAGAGATGCCTGAACAGAAACACATTCGGAATCACTCTGCCCCCGATTGTCAGAAAGGATGCACAGTGCCCTCTACTGGTGAGTCTGAGCCATTTATTCCTGTAAATTCAGTGTGTATATTATTTTATTTTATTTTATTTTATTTTATTTTATTTTATTTTATTTTATTTTATTATTTTATTTTATTTTATTTTATTTTATTATTTTATTTTATTTTAATTTTATATTATTTTATTATTCTATTCTATTCTATTCTATTCTATTCTATTCTATTCTATTCTATTCTATTCTATTCTATTCTTTTTGTCTTCTCTTCTCCTTGTTAGAAAGTTTATATTGCCGCCTATTCGCACACGGAGACCCAGGGCGGCTTACAGGGAATATAAAACATATATAAAAAATAAAACTAATAAAAGATAATAATAAATTAATAAAATAATGAATAGAATAGAATAGAATAGAATAGAATAGAATAGAATAGAATAGGAGAGTTGGAAGGGACCTTGGAGGTCTTCTAGTCCAACCCCCTGCTTAGGCAGGAAACCCTACACCACTTCAGACAAATGGTTATCCAACATCTTCTTAAAAACTTCCAGTGTTGGAGCATTCACAACTTCTGGAGGCAAGTTGTTCCACCGATTAATTGTTTTGACTGTCAGGAAATTTCTCCTTAGTTCTAAGTTGCTTCTCTCCTTGATGAGTTTCCACCCATTGCTTCCTGTCCTGCCCTCAGGTGCTTTGGAGAATAGCTTGACTCCCTCTTCTTTGGGGCAGCCCCTGAGATATTGGAACACTCCTATCATGTCACCCCTAGTCCTTCTTATATAATAGCTCCCCACCGTTCACCCCGGTGACAACACATCCCACAAGCCATTGCTTTGGGATTCAGGAGTGCCTCCACGTATCTTTTCTCTTCGATTGATATCCATTCCTATTTAAAGACCTGGCATTAAAAGAGTTGCTCCAGGAAAAAAAAAAAAAGAGAGACTCTTGATAAATACAGATAAGTCCTCGAGTTACAATGGTTCATTTAGTGACAGTTCAAAGTTACAATGGCACTGATAAAAGTGACTTCTGATCGGTTTTCACACTTAACAACTGTTGTAGCAGCTTCCTGGTCCCACGATCAAAATTCAGACGTTTGGCAAACTGACTCGTATTTGTGACGGTTCGCCATGTCCCGGGGTCATGTGATCCCCTGTTGCGACCTTCTGACAAGACAAGTCAATGGGGAAGCCGGACTCATTTAACGACCGTGTTACTAACTCAACAACTGCAGATGGTTCACTTAACAACGACGGCAAGGAAGGTTGTAAAAAAGGGCGAAACACGTTTAACAACTGTCTCCCTTAGCAAACAGAAGTTTTGGGTTCAATTGTGGTCATAAGTGGAGGTCTACCTGTAAATGGTTCTGCCTTTTGGTTCAAGAATTTTTACACATCTGAAGTTGCTCAACGTTTGTTCAGATGTTTCAAGCCTAGCGGGGGATTGTGCTTCGAGGTAGGTTTGCAGAAAAATGCAGAAAAATCATCATCATCGTCTTCTTCATTTAACAACCCCATAATCCCTGGCGGGCTGGAGTCTGGGCAACTGAATGGAGCTAACAGAGTGTTTGAATGGTCGGATGCCCTTCCTGTTGCCGATGTGGAGTTTTGTTTGGCAGATATAATTCTCATTGTGTCCAGAGAGAGAGAAATATTTGCCTCTACCTAGGATTGAACTCACAGCCTCCTGATTGTGAGGCGAGAGCTCCACCTCTAGGCCACCGCACCATTCCATTTGCAGAAAAATGTTGATGGCTTCTGAAATTAAAACAGTGATGATCGCAGCTTCTGCCCCTGTGACCTTTTCTCGTGCGTGGACACGATCCCAGCTCTCTTTGCTTTAAAACCGTCCAGCCTTCTTGCCAATATTTTTTTGCATCACGGTGGGTTTTACATTCTTGGCAAGCCACAAATCCTGTAAAAGACGTATAAAACAACAGCATGAAAGCTGAAGGGGAGCTGAGCAGATAAAATAAATGTCTGCCGTTTAAAAATTCTTCGCTCGACAAGACATCTATACTCTGCAGATCAGGAAAGATTTAAGCAAGCAAGGGAAAAATAAATAAGGAAGGCAGGAGGGAGGGAGGAAGCGTTGTGAGGGAGGAAAATACCTCACAATTTTGAGACATTGTGAAGTTTTTCCTTCCTTCCTTCCTTCCTTCCTTCCTTCCTTCCTTCCTTCCTTCCTTCTTTCCTTTCTTCCTTCCCTCCCTCCCTCTTCCTTCTTCCTTCCTTTTCTTTCCTTCTTTCCTTCCTTCCTTCTTTCCTTCCTTCCTTTTCTTTCCTTCCTTCCTTCCCTCCCTCCCTCTTCCTTCCTTCTTTCCTTCCTTCCTTTCTTCCCTCCCTCCCCCTTCCTTCCTTCCTTCCCTCCCTCCCTCCCTCCCTCTTCCTTCCTTCCTTCTTCCTTCTTTTTCTTTCCTTCTTTCCTTCCTTCCTTCCTTCCCTCCCTCCCCCTTCCTTCCTTCCTTCCTTCCTTCCTTCCTTCCTCCCTCCCTCCCTCCTTCTTTCCATTTGTCCAGTATGATATAGAGTTTCCTGCCTGAGCAGAAGGTTGGACTAGAATACTCTCCAAGATCCCTTCCAATTCTGTTATTCTGTACTCTGTATTCTGTATCCTGTGTTTATAGATTGCTTTAAAGAAGGCTATCCAATTTATGTGAATATGGTGTTCCTTGTTGGGGTGAAACCGATCTTTCCGAGGCACATTGTATTGAAGAACTGAAAGATTTTTCAAGTTAAACGTGTGTTTTCACCCGACTGTTGTTGTTTAGAACAGAGGTCTCCAACTTGGCAACTTTAAGCCTAGCAGACTTCAACTCCCAGAATTCCCCAGCCAGCTTGCTGGATGGGAGTTACTGGGTGGGAGTTGAAGTCCTCCAGGCTTAAAATTGCCAAGGTTGGAGAGCCCTGGTTTAGAATGTCTCATGGGGCCGGATGTCAGCATTCTGATGCTGCCATAAAAAGACGAGGCTTGACTTTACACCTACTTATTTCTCTGTAGATAATATCCCCTAGAAGATGGGATGGTGGGGGGAACATTCCTGTGGGGTGAGGTCAGAAGCTGGGGAGACTGACTTGGAAGATGGCCAATGAGAAGATGAGAATTGGGGAATGGAAAGGGAAGGGTTTGGGGGTCAGAGGGTTAGTATTGGCTACGATGAAGTCAGGGCCAGATCTGTCGTACTCAATAAATGGAATATTTCAGCAAAGATTAATTGTTTGGGAGTGCAATTTATTTGAGATGACATCGAAACCTGACAGTTGAATCATTGTTGAAATATTAAGACAACTGTCATGCATTCAAACTGATTAGCCTTCCTCTTTTTTTTTTTATTAAAAAAGTTTTCAATTACAAATTTTTCCCCCTTTCCTCCCCCCTCCTCCCTAACCCCCCCGCACCACCCCCTCCCCCTCCCCCCTTTGACTTCTTCAAAATAAAAACCTAATACATAACAGATTATATAATATTTTACCATCCCCTTACTCCCTCCTCCAAATACTGACCCTTACTCCTAGTGATATTATTAATATTATTACTTCCCCCTCTTACCATACACTTCAAAATAACATTCCATTATAACACTATGTAATAACTTCTGATTTAACACAGTAATATTATTATAACTCCCATTTTATCGATAATCTGCCCTTTTTTCTCCTCCCCCATACTTATGTCTGTATATTAATATAACATTTCAAAATAACCTTCCACTTTAAAACTATATAATAAATCCTACTTTAACATTTAATCTTTTAAATGCATCTTTAAATGCTGCAAATTTCCCTGCCCAAATTGAAGTTCTAAAAAAGCTTGCAAATGTGAATCTAGCATTGGTCATAATTTTTGTTTTTTTCTCCCGCTCTCAATTTCCATAGCCAAAATGTGCAGAACATTCTGTGCCTAACCTAGCCCCACATTTGGAGGGTCCTTGGTGTATTTCAACTAAAAAAGAAAGAACAATGGTTCCATGCTTTACAATTGATTTTAGGGGCCAAATAGATATACGTGCCAGATAGAAATTATACTCTGATGCCAATCCCCCTCAGTACTTTGTATTCCTCAAAATAAAAACGGCACAGGATCTTTTCCTTCTGCACGAAGCCAGAATCGTTGGATATGGCATGCATTGTCTTTTAATAAAAAAAATAAATTTTGCTATACAGGATGATCTGAGTCTTCAGCTCCCATTATTTCTGGAGTCCTTAGACCACCCTTGCAATATAGGTCAATGCTGTTTGCCTTCATATTATCCATAAAATATGCATGTAGCTTGCATAAAGTTATGGTTTGGATACAGATCCTTAAAATAGTGTTTTTTTAATCTTGTTAACTTGAAAATGGGTGGACTTCAACTCCCAGAATTCCCCAGCCAGCCATGAAGTCCACCCAACTTCAAGTTGCCAAGGTTGAGATACTCCAGTCTAAGAGTTAGTGCTAGATCATTCCTAGGACAATTGGCTTATTCCGTTTTGCAATTTTCTGGGAGTGGAAGTTCACCCATCTTTATGTCAGGGTTTCTAAGTACCATACTTTTCGGAGTATAAGATGCATTCCCCACCTCCCCTCCTAGAAGGGGGTGGAAATGTTGGTGCATCTTATACACCAAATACAGCCAGCCTGCAGCACCACATTCTAACCACTGCACCACCAGGGCTCCTAATGCAACATCCAATCAGCTACAGCAATAGCAATAGCACTTAGACTTATATACTGTTTCACAGTACTTTGCAGCCCTCTCTAAGCGGTTTGCAGAGTCAGCCTATTGCCCCCAACAAGCTTGGTCCTCATTTTACCCACTTCGGAAGGATGGAAGGCTGAGCCAACCTTGAGCCAGTCAGGATCGAACTGCTGACAGTTGGCAGAATTAGCTGCAATACTGCATTCTAACCACTGCGCCACCACAGCTAATCATCAGTAGCACTTAGACTTATATACCGCTTCACAGTGCTTCACAGCCCTCTCTAAGCGGTTTACAGAGTCAGCATCTTGCCCCCCAACAAGCTGGGTCCTTGTTTTACCCACCTTGGAAGGATGGAAGTCTGAGTCAACCTTCAGCCTGTGAGACTCGAACTGCTGGCAGCTGGCAGTCAGCAGAAGTAGCCTGCAGTATTGCACTCTAACCTGGTAAAAGTGTTGACCGAATGTTGGATAATATTGTGGTGGATCTATGAATGTTAATCCTCCATTTCATGCTTGAGAGTCCATCTTCTCTGATTTGTAAACCCCCCCTCCCCATCCAGGAGAGGCTTGGGAGCTAGAAGATGACTGCATCAGTCCCAGAAGAGACCCCACCATGCAAACACGACTCTGCACTGTGATGGATGAAGCCCCTTTCCGGGCGATCCGAACTCGGTCCTTCTACATGAGGAAAAGCCTATCTGTGGACAACCATCTAAGTTCCCTCAGTTATCCTCTCCACCCGAACGAAACGAAGACGGAGCGAGTCAAAACGAAGCTTCGGAGGCAGTTTGTGAGTACTCCAGAGCCAATGTTTTTTTTCTCGTGGGCGTTTGAAAGAGGCAGCTTTTGCAAAACTGGCATTCTTTTTCCTATGGAGCTGTGACACGTGATGATGGCTTGGGTTGGTTGGTTTGACAAAATGGCGGATCGCACAAAATGGCGGAAGTACAAAATAGTTAGCTACAGTAGTGGCCAAAATTGTGGAAACCTTTTGGGAAAAGTGTCTTTTTGAGGTTTGATGGCTAATAACACCACTTTTTTGGGGGGACGTTTCAAGATAATCCTATTCCACTGCTGGAATGGCCTGGGAATAGCCCAGACCTTCACCCTATTGAAAATCTATGGAGCTGACTTGTTAGTCAGAAGCAACCAAGCAATAAAACCCAGTTAATAGAAGCCATCCTTCAATCTTGGGTTTCACATTAGAACAGCTGCAGAACTAAAAGACTTGGTTCACTCCATGGGAAGATGTTGTAAGGCCGTAATTCATGCTAAAGGTTACCCAACTAAGGATTAACTGACATGGTGATCATTTTTGTATATCTCGTTTTTTCTATGGTGATAATTTTTATATATCTCGTTTTTTCTGCGTGTTTCACTTTTCTTCTTTATCCTGTAACTGCTATTCTCATAGCAAATCCTTCCTAAAAGTGATTGCATTACATTCTTGATTAAATTATCTTTCCATTGATATATGATTTTATGGGACTACTCCCCCCCCCCAAAAAGTGATGTTATTAGCTAGTTTTAGAAAATACACTTTTCCCAAAAAGTTTCTACAATTTTGGCCACTACTGTATGTTGATATTTAAGATTGTTCTGTAGTTTTCTGTGTTGGCCAAAGCTTTGAATAGAACATAGGGATGTTCACTGCACTTTTGCACACTTAGCCAACCAATCTTTGATTTTTGAGCTAATCATGAAGCCCTGCATTTGTCAGAAATAAATTTATCTATATCTATGTGCCCATGCGTTTGTACATTAACATACAAAAAACAAAATAGAATAGTTCTGTTCGTTGAAAACCCTTGATTTACAAATAATCCAGCGTTAGAATTACAGACAGCTTTTTGGATGCAAAAAACTTAAAGGAACATCAAAATACAATATACATATGAGATATAAATATCTGCAAAAATCTAAATATGGAAGGAAAAGACTAGAATAGGACTTGGCTGCTATGATTGATTGTCAAAACTATTGTGTAACTCTCGTCTGTTTCCAATCCACTGTATTGGGTGGTTCTTTGGGTTTGAGAGAATCCAGTGAGAAGAAAGAGTTGCTGGGGAATTCTGGGAGTTGAAGATGTCACATCTTAAAGCTAGCAAACGTTGTTGTTGTTGTCAGTCATGAAGTCGTGTCCGACCCATTGTGACCCCATGGACAACGTTCCTCCAGGCCTTCCTGTCCTCTACCGTCCTCTGGAGTCCTTTTAAACTCACACCGACTGCTTCAGTGACTCCATCCAGCCACCTCCTTCTCTGTTGTCCCCTTCTTCTTTTGCCTTCAATCTTTCCCAGCATTAGGCTCTTCTCCAGTGATTCATTTTAACAACTGCAGTGATTTGTTTAATAACTGTGGCCCTCAAGGTCAGAAAGTCGGGTGCAACTCAATTTGCTTAGCAATGGAAATCCTGGTCCCAACTCTGGTTGTAAATCAAGGATTACATAAGGCTGGGTTATATCCAGGGGTGGGCTGCTGGGGGTTCACAGGGGTTTGGGAGAACCTGTAGCTAAGGTTCTGTGAAGTTCGGAGAACCCCCAAATCCCACTCCTGGCTGGCCTCGTCCACCCTATCCTTCCCAGAAGTCCCCATGCGGCCCATTTTGGATGCAGGTAAATGCAGGGTGTGCACGGAGGCTCAGGGAGGGCAAAAAACGGGCTTACCGGAAGTTTGGGAAGGCTGGAATCAGGCCCTTTTCCAGCCTCCAGAGCCTGGGGAGGCCATTTTCGCCCTCCCGGAGGCTCGAAAAAAGCCTCTGGAGGCTAGGAGGGCAAAAACACCCCACACCCCCCGCCAGGGTGCAGGAGTCTGACTAGGCCATGCCCACCATCCAGCAACCGGGCAGAGAACCCCTTGCTAAAATTCGTGAAGCCCACCCTTGGTTATATCTGTGCCTATGCTTATGCGAACAGGCTTCCTAATAGATGAGGAAAGTGAGAAGTCTTGAATTTAGAGATACAGTACTTGGAAGATTTATTTATTTATTTACTGTACGGCAAATAACATGGACTTAGAGTAGTTCATCAGGCATTGGGCCATTGTAAGCTCTTTGTTAGGTTATGGTTTGAGCCTAACAAGTTGTCCAGGCAATATAAGTGTACTGTAACTTTAATCTGTATATGTATTGTGTGACTTTAAGGCTTTACTGCTGAATCATTATAATGCTGAGTCATGCTGTAATTAGGTAATGACTGGTTGTGAGAGTATTTAAGCAAGGTATTATAACGTGTTCAGTTGCTGCTATGATATGCTGCTATTGATGATGAAGCTGATGTGATATGCTACCAGAGTATGATATGCTGCCATAGTGAGGAGTTGCTATCTGCTATCGTTTGATGGATCTGGTTCACAAACCATCGTGGTTTGTGAACCAGAGTGAGTTTGTTATTCTAACCAACTAATGTTTGTTTGGTAAGAAGATATCTGTAACTACTGGACTGATTTAACTGGCAAAGACTTGGAATTGGTTTAAAGACTATGCGACTTTTTCTACTATAAAGTAAGCTTTTGATAAACCAGTTTGCATATCTCTTATTCATTGCTCTCAGCAACGTTTCCTTGTGCATTTACTCTGCTGGTTGGTAACACAACACCAATATCCTTAACATTCTTGATGGACATTTGGACACCATGTGGTGGATATTTTGTCGAGGAGCACCACAATCACACTGAGGGGTAGAGACAAGACCCCACGTAAACAATTAAGTCCTGGCAGACACCATGTTGGGTACGGATCCAGTTCAGAGTTGACCAATGCTAGCGAGGAAGGTCAAAATCTGGCACCTTTTGTGTAGGGTTCATCTACGTCACTGCCTATATCTTGGCCATTCAACTGCCCATTTGGCTTTCCACTGTGTCTTTCTCGGTTGCCATGAATTTAGAGAGCCAAGAGTTCTACAAAGATGGCTGCTAACTGTCATTAACTGAAGTTAAGTACTACAGTTAACGACAGTACTTGGAAGAAGATGTTAAACTTTCTAGAGTTTAGTCTTGTGAGTTAGGAACTAGGTTGGGGTTGGGATGATGGCTTAGGAGCCGAAGCAACAGACGAGGGCCGGGCTCTGTTTAAAATTTAATAAGCTGACTTTCTGCCACCTGAAAGATACTTGATCCCGACGGTCGTGTGTCGAGTTCCTGATCTCATTACCAGTCTTGAGGTTGTAATGATGGGATCAAGTGTCTTCTGCTGAAAAACAGCCCTTTGTAGGGAGACTGGTCATTGTGCCTATGAATGCATGGAAAGAATATGAAAACAAGAAGAACAAGGAAACTCGGCTTGGTTAGGACATAATCGGAACATCCGCGATTCAACCATCTAACTCTTGTTTTAAGGCATGTTGTCGATTTCCTTGGACCCTACTTGGATGTAATTTGTGTGGTTCCAGAACGTAAATCTTCTATTGCTTCAATTTATTACTTCCATCAGTTTCTCTTGGGATTTAGAGGAGCCCTTTAGTTGCTTTAGTTTCCTCTTTTGAGAGGACCCATAGAAGGTTGAGGGGACATTTTGGAGTGCTTCTGGAAAAGTGCTGACGATAGGACTTCCAGTCAGAAGATGCTGTGTGCGGCAGAGGAAACGGTGGAACAAAACCACGGGGGAAGGTTACAAACGGTAGATTGATCCCCGTAAAATGCCACGGATGAGGTAGGGAGAAGCTGCACGATAACAGCCGGTTTAGGATGCGCCTGACGGGAGAGAATGGAAAATAAGAATCGGCAAGAGAATTAAAGCCACGGCCTTTGATTCCAGTTATACTCCTAATTGGAAAGCATCCAAAGGAATTTCCAATGTTTAGAAGGAATCATCTTTGCTTTGGGGTAAGAAAACAACTTTAGAGGCTGATTTTTAGTTAGTTAAATTACCATATAATGAAAGGTAAAAGGAGTTTGCATTTCGACTAGAAATTCTTCATTTTTTAATCTTTGATTTGTAATATATAGGGCCTGATTTCTTTGTGTGAGTCCCTAGGAGAAATCTTCTCCTCCTTCTCCTTCTCCTTCTCCTTCTCCTTCTCCTTCTCCTTCTCCTTCTCCTCCTTCTCCTCCTCCTTCTCCTTCTCCTCCTCCTCCTCCTCCTTCTCCTTCTTCTCCTCCTCACAAAAAAGTGGGCAAGATGATGATCTTCTTCTTCTTCTTCTTCTTCTTCTTCTTCTTCTTCTTCTTCTTCCTTCCTTCCTTCCTTCCTTCCTTCCTTCCTTCCTTCCTTCCTTCCTTCCTTCCTTCCTTCCTCCTCCTCCTCCCTCTTCAGAAATATTGAAACATATGGCAGTCTCTGGACAAATTCAATATTTCTGCCCTTTATACTCCATGTTCCTCAGAAGTTCCACCTCTTGTGTTCACAGGTCGGTCAGTGTCTTAAGGGAAGGAAAATCTTCCTTTAGAAAGGCCTAACTTGAAGTTGTCATAGTTTTCCTGGCATTTGCAACCCTGTGCCAGAAATGAACTGAAAGCACATTAGCTGCTGAAAACGAAGATTCTGTGACACGACTGTGGGCCCAAACAAGGGAACGCAGCCAAAATGTACAGATGGCAAACTGCACATACTCGTTTCAGCAGTGAGATACTGGCCAAATTTTGATTTGTTTCTTTGAGCCTCCAGCATCCTGACATGCAACAAATAGCGAGGGCTTCTAAGGGGAAAAAAAAAAGCTGGAAGCCTTTTTGAGTGAATTTTGAATTCTGAGCATGTTTGAGTCACGGAAAGGAGAACAGATGCCTTTCCCGAAAGAGAGATTCATCCTTATGGTGACATTGGTCACATGTCATTATTGTTGCATGGTGTTGCAT